GGTTGACATCGTGGCGGTGAGATTACCGCGAAAGAAGAGAGATTTTTTCGTTTTTTCGTGGGAGTTGAAAAAACGGGTGAGCTTCTTATATAACGGAGGTAAAGCGGGAGGAGGCATGACGTGGCGATGAAGTTAGATTCGGAGCAGGATTATTGCTTTTTAAGGTCTCCAATTTGCCCCTGTTGTTCCGAAAGAACTACGATTCTGACCTTGAGGCCGTACTTGTCATTTGTCGCCCTTCCTATTACTTTTTTATTTTATTTTATTTTTTACTTTTTTAACTTTATAATAGTTTTTCAAGCATTTCTTTTTTACATGTCCTCTTTCTTCCTCCTCCAAAGTTATATGTGACCTTATTCTTATCTCTTTAGGGGCTGTTTGGTTGCTTTCCTTCATTGTTCAAATCTTATTTTTTTTTTCCACTTTTTGGTGTTTCCTTCACATTCTTAGAAGAGAGTTTCTTGTGTTTCTTTCGTAAAAAAACATGGGCTGTGATTATTTTCCACCCATGTGTACACTACTACTCAATCACCAAAAGATAGTTATTTTCTCATTGATCCTCATGCTCTAACAATTGAAAAGTTATATGCGACATTAAGTTAATCGGTTACTTAGATCTTAAAGATTTTTATGTTGGGACGTGTTTTTGAATCCTAATCTACTATTATTTTATTGCAAAAGTTATAAATTCTTATATTTTATTGCCTAAACTATATTCTCATTGTAAATCAAACATTTGTACATCTAGAATAGAAAAGTGATTGGTACATTTGTGTTCAAACCATCTGACTGGATGGCGAAATATAGATTTATTTATTTAATTTCGCAGCATGTGTGGTGTGTTGCATTTAAATGAACTATAATCTAATGCTATAAAATAAAAATGCAATTATATTTCTCTTGGGTCTTGCTCCTAATCGAAACATTTGAAATAAAATTTGACTATATCAGCTGGTATAGATTTATTATGCAAATCAACAGATTTCTCGTATTTTCTTTTGATAAATTTTTATAAGACTAATGATTACTCATTACTTACTTTATATTTTTTTTTTCTTTGATCCTGTAGTTATTAGTTTTGGATTGTAGCACTCGATATGGGCCATAGTACAGTGCTTGGTCAGTTTGACAATCTTCTTAAGTATATTTCCTCTTTCTTATCTAGTTGAGCTCTCAATACCACTTCCGTAATAATTTTATGAAAGGAGGGTAATGTTTTGGTGGGTCCGGCCCCTTCGCTTTCCCGTGGAAGTCATTACTTTGGAGTGGGTTTAGTCGTGGGGCCACAGTTGCATCTGTGCGACAGGTGGACAGACTGCTTTTTTTTTACCCAAAGTTTAATGGGTCGGGTTTTGCGGCCGACCTTTTCCGACCCGCTATGTCTCTTTCAAGTTGCTTGTATTAATAGAGATGAACTTATGTTAACGTAAGTGAATAAAAGACTTTTGTCCATCAAATTTTTTATCCACTTATATATATATAAATTCTCTTTATATCTTGCATGGATCCCTATGTATCATTAATAAATAGAAAGTTTGGTGGATGGTCTACTTAAGCTGACATAAGTTTTGTGGTCAAATTAGAGGTTTGACACGCCGTACGTCACGAGTGCAGATAAAGTTGGACTCGATCAGAGTGAGCCAAAATAGTTTATAGATGGACTAAATATAAACTTACATAACTATGATATCCGATGATTACAATGATTTTTTGCATTATTTTAATGTGTAGAGTTCTCGTGTACTTATAAGTAGCACATACAAATGTTATAGTTTTTAGATTTTGGGCTTATATACCTTCATTTGTGTTTTTTTAGCATTTATATAGGATTAAAACTTGAGTTATTTGCACGTTGGTACGCTTAGGTTTATGCCATTTTCCATTTTGAAATCTAAAAGTTTTTTATTCATGTCACTTTGATATCCTAAAGATTTGCAAATCTTAATAAACTTTGATACCCTAAAAATTTATTTTTCAAAGTTTTGATAACCTGACTTCTACACCTTTCTAAACTTCGATACTACGATAGCGGCGGAGTCAGGATCTTGGATCAGTGCTATCCCCATATAATCTATTATGATTATATTTAGAATCCGTATCAACAATTTTATAATTTTAAGCTTTTAAATAGTGTCCTACACTAATTTCAACGGCGTCATGTATAATATAAAAGTAAAAATAAAAAAAGTTATGTATAAACTAGTCAATTCAGTGGTATATATGACATCTCTAAACACTATCCGGCTCCGCTATTATGCTACAAAGCTTTATTTTTGACACTTTTGATTCTTTAAAATTCGGAGCATCAAAGTTAAGAGAGCATAAAGGTAAAAAAAAATGGGTAAACTTTGAGATATTAAACTGTTAGAAAAGCTTTGAGACATCAAAGTCAAAATGGGTGATAAAGTATCAAATTAAAACATTAATATTCAAGTTAAAAAGATACCTACTTTAGGGTCAAAGTGCAAATAACCGCATAAATTTTTATTGGTCTTTTGCATATATACCCCTTATACCATGGGTATTTGCAAAGATACCTCCCATATCTCATTATTTACAAAACTATCACCCAAGTCAAAATTTGTGAAAAAATACAGATAAAATCAACGAATCATCAACTTTGTGCTAAAATATTGACTATTTTATTAATAATTTTTTACATTTAGATCATAAATTAGCTTACTAAAGTTGATGATTAATTAATTTTAGGCCCCCCCCCCCAAACACCCAAGAATAAAGATTTGAGGGGTAAATTTGCAAATACTAAGATGTAAAGGGTACTTTTTGCAAACCCATGACTAAGGGGTATATATGCAAATAATTTGTTTGGAGCTTAATCTGAAACAACATCGGAGCCCACAGCCAATTTTCTAATGGCCGTTCCTGGGTCCGCTATAAGCAAGTGCATCTAAAAACAAGGAAGACGACAACTAACTCCCCGAACCGTAACCAATGAAAATACGCCACGTGGACACCGACGTTCAGTGTGCCCGAGGCAGTTATTAACCAAACCAAAAGGATAAAAACGAAGCGGCTTTATTTTAGAAAGTTCAAAATCTCGAAAAGCCGAGGAGGTGGAGATGTGGGTGAGTTGGATTCGGGTACTAAATGTTTGGATCCGAAGTCGACCCGCTTCACCCGGTAACGCGATGGTGGGTGGATGCTGCAGGCACTGCTAGGGTTTGGGCTGATCCCATGGTTAATGAGGTATTTTCTATTTTCATTCTATTTTTTGTCCTTTGTTTTTTTGAATAATTTTTGTGATATTTATGTTAGGGAAAATTTTTAGTTTTTGCACATTTGGGTTATTGTGAAAAAAAAAGCTATTTATTGAATTAGGAGTAATTTTATGTGTTGATTCTTTTTTTGAACCTTGAATAGTTACATTATGAACTGTGAGAAATTGTGGATTATTTGTATTTTTAGCAGTCTAATATCACAATTTTGGCAATAGGGTTTGGATCACTTATGTGTTAAACTCGTTTATTAACACTTATTATTGCACGTTAATTTGTGAGAGGGATAGAGAGAGAGAGAGGGTTAGTTTGTGAGAGAGAAGAGTTAATCTGCAATTTATTCTTCTCGAAATGTCAACCCTGGAGTTGATAAGTTGTACTTTGTTTTTTGTTCATATTAGTTTTTGTTCATTTCGGTTACTAGAAAAGGTTTTTTTTATTGAATGAATTAGAAGCATCGTGATGTGATGATTCTTTTCTTGAACCACCTATAGTTACTAGTGTGCACCCCGTGCAAAGCACGGCAGCTTATTTTTTGTATCATTGTATTTTAAATTTGTGTCTCCCTAAGTTTTAATACATTTAATTTGATTATTGTATACTTCAAATTAAAAATTATAAATCATATAAAAATATATATTACCAAAAATATTGTCATCTGATGCTTATACATTCTTGCTCTAAAGAATATAAAGATCAACTCTAAATTTCCTAGTTTAAGAATATAAAATTTAATAGATTACTAAATTAGCTGAACATCTCTTTCCAAATTTTTGTCAATGGCAAAATTTTGCATCCAATTAATATTCAAGATGTCAATTTATTTTGTATCTCGAGGGATGATTGTTTTGGAAAAGGAAAGTAGCTTAAGTTAGTCTTGCTATTATCTATTTCTTCATCTTCCATTTTCCTTGTTGTTCTACAAAAGAAAGTAAATCTTTATATTTACAAATTCTCTTTTAAGTTAAAATACAAATGCATATGAAGGCATATGGAGGAGAGGAATATATTTTTGATTCCAAGCTCCCAGGGAAAAAAAACAAAAGAGAGAGACTTATGCTTTCAATGGGTTTCAGGTTCCCATCAGAAACTACTAAAACAAACAAACTTATGTTTTCAAGGATCTATACACGTCTTAAAAGCTTATATGCATTCATAAAATTCTTTTGCAGCATTTTAAAGTCAAATATGACACATATGCCACTTACTTAAATCATGATAATCATGCTCTAATATAAGAATTATTATATGCCCAACACAAATATTCCATATCATCTTATCGAGGCCAATGTCACGAAAATCAACATTTATCAGGTCTCAGTGACAAATATTCCATATCATCTTATCTATGACAACACATGTATCATAAACTTGATGAATAGATTGGTAAGGTAAAAAAACTCGATTTAAAAGACAAATCCATATTCTATAATAGCTAGCTAGAAATTAAATAATTGGGTATATTGACATTAAGCCATTGTCTGCATTGGGTAGGCTTCATAAATTATTGTCGTGGTAACTAAATGCGTGAGTGTAAATTTTGATTAATGTTTTCACCTGAACTTCTCTCTTCTTCAGGCCCTTGTATAAGTCTTGGATGACATGTATTCCACTGGTGTTACTGTCTGTCACAGCTGCAAAAGAGCATTTTTAATGAGAAATGCTGGATATATGTGATGAGTAGTATTGAAATGATAACAAAGAACAAAAATATGAAGTTATTGTGTATAATTACGTGACATCTCGACAATGAGGAAATCGATTTTTGATAGGTTCTTTGCTTGTAATATCTCTCCTTCATCTGTTAACCATCTGAGAATTCTGAAAATAAAATGTATGTGTTGGATGTAATTCTAAATTTTCAATAAATAATTTCCCTCAAAAAATTTTCATTAAATAATCATGTACGTGTTTACATGTGAGTACACATAATTTTCATATCAAATGATCATAGATTTTACACTCATTTTAATTTCATAAAAATTAAAACGCAAGTGCCAAATTGTCACGATTGAAAACTTAGGGGGTTTCTGTGAAGTCCTACTAAAGGTGGAATTTCTGTAATGTAGCCTTCTTTCTTCTACCAATAAACTTTCCTTATAGGTATCTAGTCATACAAAGAGTCAAATTGGTTGGAGGGTCAAGAAATGTTACATACCTCCCTCTAACATAATTGGATTGGACAAATATATAGCAGAATCAACTCTCACTATGGCTCCTGGAGCTCTAGCTGCCTCTGGGCATTGTTCTATATTCCTATGAACTGTAGTCAGCTAGTTTTGTCTCCAAATGGCAATGAATGTCTTTTAGCCCAGATAAGTACTCTATAAATAAAGATGAAAGTAAAATTAGTCATTAAGTGCACATAGCATAAAATAATTTACTTGACATAGTGATTATGTTGAACATCTGTGCTCAACATAAAGCTCACAAAGTATTATTGGTTAATATCGACATCGATGTGTGATGACCATACTATATAACACTTTGTTTTTGAAAGTCTATCCACATCATAATTATATTCCCCACTACTTGGGAAATATTGTTTAGAAATAGGATGAATTTGTTCCATTTTGACCAAGATGACACAGCAAAACATCATGTATTACATCCCTTTTTCGTCAACATCACACAAACTCACACTACACACAGCCATAAAAGATCAGCATCATGTATTGCATCCCTTTTTTTTGTCAACATCACATAACCTGGATGAATAATTTTCTATTATTCATCTAAAAATTAAAAGATAGTCAAGAAGTAACCTTAAAAAATTGTGGCCTTCTGGTTGCAAGAACTACTTCAGTTTGCTTGCTAAAACTACTAAAGACATGAATCAGAGCTTGAACAATATCTATTTTCTTAGCTCCAAACCTGCGCATCGCACATTTGTACTCTCTTGCTCCTCTTCAATGAGCTTCTCCGCTCTTTCAAATGTCTCTTTCCTTCTCAGCCCATTGCTACACTTAGGCAATAGTTCAGAAGTCTATCAACAATTAACCCAAAAAAACATTTAAATAAGAATAAGAGTTATTCTTCACCTTCGTAGAATTATATAGTTACACGATCTTCTTTGTTTTCAACTCTAATGGAGTACCTGAACACCATTAGTGACTGCAACTGAACAGGCCGGAGGAGTTTCTGGGTATAATCTTATAGTCTGCATTTTATGTGGCATCTGAGTTTTAATCATGCCGCCTTGCAAGCGCCTACATTGCTCTTCCAACCGCAACAATAGTGCATCTTGGGTTATATCATTGTTAACATCAGAAGTTTGCCTGAGTAGTGCTTGAGGTACACATGGTAACATCTCACCATCTGATAAAAGGTTCCTAGTGCCGACATAAAGTTGTTTATTGGTAGAATTGAGAAAAAACCACTTTTCATAATAGTAGGAAGCTGCAACTATAATGTATGATCTAACAGAAAAGCCTATCTGCATTGCAACATCTTTAGTCTGGAGCATAATAAACAAATGATACTAATCACAAATTAAAATATTTAAAAGTGGATACAATTAGAATTCATTACATCATAGAGATACATAAATACATAAATAGATTATTGGATCTATGAATGATATAGGAGTGATATAATTAATGATTTGTGAAGTATGCAATTAACCAAAGTTTCCATATATGCCAATTTATCCAGTGCAGTGGACACCCTTGCTTCTGATATATGAACCTAACCAAATTTATAATTCAGGGATTTTTAAGATTGAAGCAGAGAAATTAGTTAGTACATTTGAATTGAAAAGATTGTTGTATCTGTCGGTGTGCTTGTGCTAGCTCTTGTTGGATGTTGCAACTGTGCGAACTCTTTTTTTATAGTTCCAACTGATTTAAATTCCCTTGCTAAAGGGTTGAGAATCTCTACCGCATGAATTAATAAAAGATAAGATAGTGACAATCAATAAATCCAGCCTAAACATGCAAGATAAAAAAAATCAATTATATAAAGATAGAATCCACTCTTATCTATTTCCAAAGATAAAAATTAGGGTCCCTTTTTATGTACTATGCATCAACCAGAGATATGCAGCTAAGCAAGATTTGCTAACTGGGGATGTAGCTCGTTAGGGGGGGATGAATGTTATTTTTTCTCTTATTTACTGTATAATTTGCCAACATTGAAATAAAATTACCTATTTATATAAAGGAATAGATTTCTCAAACTATTGCCACTTCTAGTTTGAGATTAAGGTAAATCACAATAACATTCATCTTTCTAAGAGATTTAATATACCTTTAGAAATTCATTGGAGAGATTTAATCTAAAAACAGACTCAAAGAAAATACTCAAATCCACATGTAAGCATAAAGCTCTGTGAGAATCACTATTGTTTATATGTTACAATTTAACAAACATCCAAGGTAAACAAAGTTCATTAAAAACTTCCAAATTTCCTCCCATATTTAGACTAAGAAAGATAGTACACATAAGAGAGATTGTACACATTGAATTTGGTCTAATACTGGAGCCTTGTGCAATTTACATTATTTCTATATAATTTTCTCCTTGTATAATAACATAAAGCTAATGAGTAATTGCACCATGTAGTTTTATTATTGCAGATAGACCCTCTGAGTGTCTTTTGGTTACTCTTTTAACCTCAATGAAAAGAAAAATCTTTGTAGTCATGACGTCCTGCGGCTAAAAGAGGAAGAAAATATTCAAGGGATCTATCTGCAATAATAGTACTATAAGGAGCCTATCTGCAAGTAACCCCTACCGATTTGATGATATTATGTTCATAGACATGATTTTGAGTATTTTCATCAATAGGTGCACGATGGATTCCCGTATTTTAGAGGTAAATATCAATTATGGACATGATCGTGAGTAATCAAACAAAGAACTTAAAGCCAAATTCACACTGTAGTTGTATCAACTAAAGTTCTCTTTACTTGAGATGTCACAAATGTATTTCAAAACAAAAAGTTGGCTTCAATTGCATTGGCATTCATA